ATTATTTGACAAAAGATCAACCCTTAGATAATTTTAAATGGACATATAAAAACAAAGTGAATTTGATTTTCTACCATGCTAAATTCAAGCATATCACTGCAAAAACTAAAAATTTATTGATCTAACTATATTTTTGTGCGTCTACCTAATTCAACATTATGTTTATGGCCAAAACAGCGAAAACCCGTCAGTATATATTTTAGTCTATAATTGCTTGCCAATAAATCTTCCAGGTTATAATACTACCTTGATTTTTCCTAAAGTACACAGCCTGGACGATTGTGAATTTGAGGCATGCCATTCTTGCTGACAAATTGTTTTTATTCTTTGAGTAAATATCTTTGAGTAAATATTTGCAGTATTTTTCAAACCAGACAATGCCGAAACCATATTTGAACAGGCGATTTTTATGTGGGTATCCCAAGTAAGTCTGCCGGTTTTGTCTAATCGTTCAAGCATGATATAACATGTTTTGGGGTTCCAGCTATTTTTTACTTCAACTAATTTTAACCAATATGAGATACAACGCTTAAAATAACCACATCATAATGGCAGCCTTCCACATTCATCCAACATCGCTACATTGTTAGTACAACTATTAACGCTAAGTAGATATCTGCAAAATGTTGTCTGTACCCTCTCGATTTTCGAATTTTTGTACCCCCATATCGCTACCATAAGAAATAGCTGGCACAATGATTGCATCAAACAAATTAAATGCACTAACCAATGGCATACCACCAAGTTTCTTACAGTATGTAAATGTTTTGGTTCATTGTAAATCTGTTTTTAGAGGGCGGTAAAATAATATACATATAGTGTAAGTTTAGACTTCAATAACTACATCTCCTTTTTATGAACCCACTAAAATATAGTAAATTCGTCGCATAGTTTCAGTGCTGAAGCAACACTGTGGGGGTAAATTGTTGGCTGCAAAGATCTCTTCGACCTATACAACTCGTGATGATAAATCTTCGGCATTTTTTTAATGATCTGTTGAATCCGTAGCTATACACTATTGTCCAATAACACAGGCTACACGTACTACTACAATAAGTTGACTACATTTGGCTGATACACTTGGAACAAAACAGTATATATGCCATCATTAACTTGAAGAATACAAAACTAATGAACCAAACTAGGAAAGTACAGTACAGTGTCGTGTTGTGTCAATCCCGTTCGATCCCCACACTTTACTAACTGAGCGAACACTAGCACAAGACTACCATAACATTATTGTTTCAGTGTTGTTTTAATATTTAACATCAGCTGCTTGAACGCGATCTTCATTACACCATAGCGTAACATAATGTTGAATTAGGCAGACACACAATACAGTTAGAATAATAAATTTTTAGTTTTTGCAGTGATACGTTTGAATTTAGCATGGTAGAAAATTAAACTCACTTTGTTTTTATATGTCCATTTTCAATGATCTAAGGGCTAATCTTTTGTCAATAACCCTATGCAATTATGCAAATACTAACAGTCTGGGCTTACTTCGTCGCAACACAAACTGTCAAGCCATATATCAACTAGCTCTGTATCTTTTAACAGTTTTCAAGGACGAGATGA